TAAGTTGGTAAGTTGGATTCTCTTTTTTCTTTTTATATGTTTATCAAATAAGTCTTGACGGAGTATATGGTACTAGAAGTTAAATTTAAGATGAAATTAAACATAATATAATTACATGTGAAATTATTTATTATCCTTTATAGCCTTTGTATTACAACGTGAAAAGTATAAAACTTCTGATATCACCTATACGTACATGGGGTCTAACAAAAGTTCGCTAAGTTGGCATTAATTCATTTGTTTCTGAAAAAACAAAAGTTGCTTCTCAATTTGTTAAAGTCTAACGATATTTTATGCCAAATTTCAACGTCAACTCATGCCTATGCAAATTTTCCAGGAATGCCAAAATGCACATGGAGTGAATAAAAAATTAAGTAAAAAGTCTTCAGTTCCAATGAAGAGATCATTAATTAAAATTTGAAAAGCTCCAACAATCCGATTTTGAGGAATGTTTTGATATATGGCTCTAGTAATTTAAGAAATGTATTGAAATAAATGGAAACTATGTAAAGAAATTATAAAAGGATGAAAATTAAATATATTAAAATAAAATTGTTTTTATTTTGATTTTTTATAGTCAACTTAGCGATTTTTTGTTATACCCCACGTATATGGGTTTCAAACCTTTTGGAAGATTAGATTTACGGCATTCAGATTTAGAGTAATACATAAAATGATAATTTTTTGGTATTGAATTGGAATATAAAATTTTAGGGCTGGCAGCGTTTTGTTTTTAGAGCGGTATAAAAATCATACATAATAACATTGATGTGTCGCCTCGCAGGAATGGGTGGATGAACGCGAGTAAATTTGCGGTCGTGTTGTTATCGATGTCTGGGAACGTGGAGTCATTCAAATGCAGTACATTCTTCCACCCTATTAAGTGCCTAGGGGAGGGAGAGATATTTGTCAGGGTTTCATCAAGGCGCGCATGCATTAAGAATGTTGCCAGCGTTTGTTCGCCAATAATGGGGAGACGGTGCCGGGGGGATGCATTATGTGTCTGTCCATCATTAAAAAACAATTACGCACTCCCAACACAGCACCGTACAATTCGAGGAAGATGAAGAACAGGAAGACTAAACAAAAAAAAAGAAGAAGCAGCAGCAAACAAGAAGGAACTGTTCCAGGATGCTTTATTGATTGCCACTCTCACTCCCTCGCATGCTCATCCCCCTTGCGCTGTTTCATTTCCTTCAGACAAATGCTGAAAACTATTGCTGAAAATTGCGTGCGGTTCCTAAATTATTTCTGCCCCTCAGTAAATCAGCATTAATACACATCTCGTAAAACCGAGCGGATTTGTTATCTTGGGTATTCCAGTAAATATATTTAAACGGTGAGGGCAAAGGGGACGACGAGGCGTTTGCTTCCTTCCTTCATTCCCACCAAAAGCTGAGTAAACGAACGATTAAATATGTATTAAGAGAAAGTTTTCTATTCGCATTTTCAACGGCATTCAATAATTCATAATGTTTTTCGCAGATAAATAGCCATTAATGCTACTTAAATATTTCAGACGTTATGATACATGCTGTTATTCGAAAGACGTGATAATAAAAGTGCATGTAATAAAGTGGCGAATCCTTGCTTCCAATAACGAGCAGAGGCGGGCCATTTCGTGCAGCCGACTAGATAGGTTATTGAGCAACTTTACGACTTATTAAACTGGTAATTTTATTGGAAACCATTAAATCTGATCGCAAGTTAATACCGAATTGAACATTTTGTATAATACTCTAGACATTTCAATATACGTGAATATACATAAAGTAAATTATAAACTATATTATTTATACTATACATGTTTATTATTAGATATTCTTCGGTTAATTTGTAACTTCCTTAACATTTCATATGTTCTCTAAATTCGCTCACATAAAAAAAACCACGTCCACACCGCGTGTTTCTTATGTAAGCATATTTTTTTGTAACAGTTAATTATTTTTTTAAATAAGTTTAATCATGAGTATATTTAAATACACACAATAACTTTATATTTATAACTATACATTAGAATATAATTAAATGAACAGATATAAAATAATAATTTTTATTGTTCGGAATGATATTAACAATACATAAACTCTTAATAATTTCTTTATAAGCATAGTACATACAAAATTACAATAGACTTTCAAGGAGAGCATAACTAGAAGAATGATAACTTTTGAACTTGAGATAAATAAAATTATCATCTTTTAAAAATGTAATCCAAAGAATTTGTGAAAGGTTAATCTTAATTTTTCTTAGAAATATAAAATCCGGTATTTAGTTGTTTGTTTGTGATTAATTAATTATTGTTTATAATACATATTATAATGCATATTGTTTCCGAGACAAAACAATTGATAAAGAATTTTTTTAAATCTTATTGTAAATGTCCATATAGTAAGAAACTTTAATTGTTTATTGAGTAAACTATAATGTTTTCAATAAAAACAATATTTTTTTTATAGCTATGTAATATAACTATGTAAATAATAACACAAAACAATAAGAAATGAAAATATAAACGGTTTTGTTATAAATTTTCATAAATAAACAAAATACAACAATTAAATGTTATTTTTGTGTTATTGCGGAAAGGTTGGGTTTATATATGTTTCTATGTATGTAAAAAAATATAGTTAATATTTTTAGATTTGCAACCTGTGAATATATTTTGAAATATGGAATTTTTGAAGAGATTCGGTGAATCGTATCTGAACGAGCTATGTGAATGAACTACCTACTATATATTAAAACAAGCACGGTGGATTTGGCAGTAAATTCGCTGCAGGATTATAGACAAGTTAATGATGACATGAAAGAGTAAAAAGTAGTTCAGGTGAGTTCGGTCAAATGGGGGGAGAGCGTGTGTGTGAGGCAAACAAAACCCACCGGAACCCAATGATTTGCCTTTGCCTTTGCAAAACCAGATTGAAGTTTAATATAGAAAAAAGCTCTTTGAAGCTCAACTAACCGGTCCACCATTCAGTTGCAACGGAATGAAAATGGAAAATGGCCTCGTTCCGGGATCTTCATTCGCGATAAAATTTCAACGGAAACTGAACATAATAGTAACGGCCACTACTACAACCATCCCAAAAACTGACCGCCGCCTCCGTCGACTTCGTCGAAACTTTCGTTCCGATGTGACTTTAATTACTAAATAGGGTGAGTTCCCCCACGACAACGAAACTGCTCCATAGCTCGTATAAATAATGCAAGAGGACAATGAAAATAATTAGATAGCTTTCGAAAAGAAAAAGTCGAAGACAGAAAACGCTATGTGCGTCAACGTGTCCTGCGTAAAATGTAATTAGTAGATATTTTTTACCCGTTGTTGGGGCTTAATGAGCCATCGGATGTATTACGCTAATGGAACAATAAACTGTTGTTTAGTTGGATTTCCTAACAAATTCCTTGTGTTTCCTACGACGCGTCGTAATTCGAAAGCAAGCAGAATAAACACAACCCCTTGGCGAGTTAATACGGTAATGCAAATACGCCGCCGCCGCCTCTACCACCGATCCTCTACCCTCTGCACCCTTCGCCACTCTCCACCCACTCTTGCTGCCACTGACAGTCACAGTCCCCTGATTATTGCTGCCACCGACAGCGTTTTGTTATCTACACATTAATTGACATCATTTACATTTAGATCAACAGCATAAAAATCGCCCTCAAACATTAATACCAGACCAAACTTTTTTTTATTCATTTTTCATTTTATGCAACGTGCTCTAATGGTTTTACAATCGCCCAGTCATCAATTCATTTTTTGTATTCTCCATATAACTCACCTGAATTCCATTCAATTATTTTCGTATATTTCAAAATAATAAAAGAACTGACATCAAGAACTACAGAAGTAAAAGACAAATAAGCTGCTCCAACATACTCGTAAATTCTTGAGTGCCATTGGTAATCCAGGGAATACGTGTGTCGTTTACATATCCTTGCTTTCTCTTTAAGAATTACTGCACATTTGTTTACTTGGCAATACTGAAATATCATAAAACTATAATGACTTATATAATAAAAATTCTTGTTGTTAATTCATTTACTTAATTTGTCTTAAACTATGGCCAACAAATTTGTTGAAATGAATGTAACCAGAAATTGTCTTGTTAATTTTACTTAAAATTTTTTAAACTTTTATTTTACTCATAATATTTACATTATATATTTATTATACTATTGTATTAAAAAAATATATTAATAATCATGTTGTAATTAGAATACACCTATCCATCGTTTTACGGGGTACTTTCTTTACATGTTTTAGCTTTTACACGGTTTAAAACATATCCTATACGTTTTTTACACACTTTTCAGTTTTTCTTTCAAAAAATTACAATTTCAATTTACAAATTTTTGTCAGGAAATATTTGTAAATTGTAGGATAAGTGTATATTGATATTTTAAAAATAATACAAAACAAAAGCATTTAATAAAAGATAAAAATATATATTTTCAATATCACAATAAATCTTTATATATATATATATATATATTATTTTAATAATATTTTGTATATTATAGAACTATAAAGAAACATTCACATATGTAACGAGATTTTGATTACGCAGGAAATGCGTGCGGCTATTATGAAGGTACGGAAACGTTAGCTGAACGCACATTTCCTGTTAACCGATATTTCGTGTTGTCCATTTATGTAGTAAGTGGTTTCCACTGTATATACAAATATCTGTCATATCCGAACAACCCTCTCTATCTTGCCAATATAACATACACTTATAATTTAAATAGATTATTTTATTTATATCAGGTCGCTATTAACAATTAAAATACAAGCGTTATCTTATTTTTAATTAACTTAATAATTAACTTTAATAATAAAAAGCGTTATTGCATTTAACACATTGAAACTCTTGATATTTATAATATAGCAAAAACAGTTAAATACATGCTTAATAAGAAATACTTTAAAAAATAGCATTAATCTATAAATATATGGCAAGCATTCTTTTAAATATACCAAAACTTGTAACCAGCTTACAATTAATTTATTACAGAAATATTTATGCACATATCACGAATTATTATGAAGCTCTTTGGAATTTAAGCTTATATAATATATAAAAAAAAATTATATAACCAAAAATTGCTTTGTGATTTTGTACGGTTGATGGACCTTTGTATCAAATTGTTTGTTCACTTCTTCGTTTACTTTACTCGTTATAACAGATCCTGAAACAGAATTATAATAACATTTTTATTAACAAAGTATTATAAAAATAAATAATTAGAAACAAAAAATTAATTCAAAATACGTTATATTATTAATTATTTTACATAAGAAATGATTCATAAATTTATAAACATAATAAAAAATTGAATTATGCAATTTATTTTGTAAGTAAAATTCTGGTCAATAAACAAAAAAAAATAAAGATTTTATTTTAGACATTTTGGACATTTTACTATAAGGCATAAATCATAATTTTCTTTAAAAAAACAGGTCTTTCTGCCAAAATTTTAATATATCTTTTTTAATTTATTATATTGTTAAAAACTTGCATTATATAAGAAAATATATAAGAAAAACAAATTATCGCGTTTATATAAAATTTCTGATCTTTTTAATTTAACTGGTTAATTCTGAACTTTTATTTTACAATTTCTTTAAACAATATATTTATAAATATTGTTACTGTAATGTAAATTAAATGTATTTTTTTCAATTATACTAATATGAAATTTAATTTATAAATGTTTCATTTGAAAAAACTTTCATTTATGAATACAAATAAAAACGATTTAAAGATTAATACTAAGTAGAATAAAAAAAATATGAAAATATTTTACCATCGGGTCCATCGCACGAATACGTGGTTATGAGTTTTTTGTTATCCGGACTGGCTGTAAACGATTTCGTGCACGATGCAGCATCTTGGGGGCATTCTATTTCGTGACAGAGCCTCACTATAAAAAAAATGTATATGTTTGTTGAGCCAGCCAGAACGAGCTGGAAAAAAGCTTAACTCCGAGGAGCGAGAGAGAAAATGGAGAAAAGGATATGATAAAAAAAATCGTACAGCGCGAGGGCGAAGGGATGAAGAAGAAAGTGTATCGCTATATTGTCACGTTTTTAAACTTACATTTACTGTCGCATTCGGCATCTTCTACTAGAATTGCCACGAGCATAAATGCTGCAACGACAACCGCACTCCGACCAACCATCATCTTGACAGACGAAATTCTGCATACCTACAACACGTTTATATACGAATATATCATTGTGGAATTGGAAGGTTACCCAGTAATTGATTCAGGTGTTACAAAGGCTATCTGATGGAAAAGGAACGAGAGGAAGAGTTTTCGTATCTGTAACAACAAGATCGCTTACAGCTATTGTCCTTGTCACTTTTTACAAAAGAATATTAATCGCATTGCTCGTTCATTTGCATACGGGATAAACACATTTTATGTGTGTCTAATAAAATCGGAGATAATAATCTGGATTACATAAAACGTTTATGCGCGTTTGGCGCCGAGCGAGATGCTGATCACAAAATCAAGAGTGAGAACTCTACTCGCGTTGCGATCCAGTCGATTTGCAATTCAGATAATCTCACAAGCTTGTAAATTACCTCACTCCTTCGTTTACAATATGGAATTGCTCTAAAACAATTAAGTTTTCAATTGATTTATTACATAAAACATTTTTACTTAGAATATTCATTAAAGGAAATATCTATGAAAATATATTAAACTCTTATTATTAGTGAGTCATTGTGACTTATTGAATCTCGGGAAATTAAAAAGTTAAATAAAGAAGAATAAGATTGTCAAATAAATGGATGAAAGTTAAATACGTAGGAAATGATCTAAAATTGGTATTTTCCGGTCGGAAAATAATATTTGTACATGAAATATAATTTTCATTCTTTAATTTATTTAACAAATTACTATTTACTTTGATTGGTAAGGGATAAATATCGGATGGTATAGCCTACCATCCAATATTTATCCAGTTGACGAAGTTGTTTAATTCAATTGTCTAAAAATTAGTTGGGTTTAATTTAGGAATTTCTGGCCCCTCAGTTCTGTACTGAAATAAAAAAATACTAACTACAATCAAATTATTAAGATTGTTGATTTTTTTTTTTTTTTTTTTTTTTTTTCAATAAGTTGTCATCGTACCATGTCTGTAGTTTAATAATATCGTTGTTGATTTTATATTTAATAACTACTTAAGATACATTAGAATTTTGATAATATTGACGTTTATAATAAAATACATAATTTTGAAAGGGATTTAGGACTTTCCATTAGTAATAGCTATGACTATTAAAAAATCTAATCAAGTTAGTCATATTCATATTTCGAATTGGTAAGTTATATCTACTAATATTTTGTTTCTACTAGATTTGTTTTGTTAAAATACTAAGCTTTTTCTGTTAGAAAACGCTAAGATTTAATAATTGCAATATTTTTAAGAAGTAAAATTTAGAAATATACAGAGATTTTTCTGAGCTCTTTTTGGCATAAAATTTAATTAATTAATTTTATAAATAAATTTGTATTTTCCATGTGATCCAACATTTTCTAGTCCTGATAAATTGTACAATTTAATGTTTTATCAATACTTAAAAATATGTATAGAAAATAAAAAAAACACAAAAGTATTATATACACATTCTGTGATTGAATTTTATTTTTGTGCAATGACTTAAAACATTTTCAGTTCTATCAGCATACCAATATTTAAAAATCATAATAACAAATAAACATAAACAAAACTTGCAATTATTAAATTATGCTAACATGAATTATTAGATTATCTGTATAAGCTTCAGTTTATTATGTACATAAATGTACTGTTAATACTTGCTTCTATAGAGCAGAGACAACCAACACCTCAAGCGCGAACAATTAAAAAACTGATTATTTCGAAAATGATGTTAGTAGTAATATTTTTCGTCAATAACTATAGATCAGGTAGATCACTTCAGAAGTAAAAAAATCAATTGCGATTTTTGTAGAAAAGTCGATCTGAAGAACGAAAAAGTTGGCCACCAGGGTTTCCCAAACTATGGTATTGTTCATAGGTATTCCATGAAACCTGAAATAAAATAATTATATAAATAATGAATATTTTTCTCTAAAAACGTGAAAAAATAAACAAAATGTAGGGCGGTTATTCTTAACCATTTCATAACACATTCATAATAAAACTCGACTGAAATATGTTCCACTTGATGATTAATGAAAATTCTAACAAAGATATAACATTAAATGATATGATTATGAAATGTATCCAACATATAAAAAAAACAATTCTTAACAATTAAGATTGCATTTTTATATGTATAAAATACATTATTGTTATTTTTTATTAATTATTTCAAATATAAAATAGATTTATTCTCACTTGAACTTATTTAATGGTTTTAATAATATTATTAATGTTGACATTGACGCTGATTTTAATTTTACTTTCACGTACGTTTATGCAATGAAAAATGATGCCTAGGGATTATATTTATAGGACGTTTATGTAACATTTCTCTGAGCGTGTTATTTTAATAACATTAAATCTTTCTTGTAAGTATATACCGCAATACCTCGCATAGTCAGTTTATTTGTTCCGCCAAAATGCCGGACTGTTTGAAACGAGACGAAATTGACGAAGTAAATATATACAAAAAAATAAATCGCACAAAAAGAAACTTGACTGTATATTTATGTATAAAAAAATATTTGTTATACTAATTTGTTTATAATTTATTTTTATTTATTTATTTTTAATTTAATAAAAATTTATTTTGTTTTGAATTTTTGTAACCAGATTATAGTGAATCCGGACTGACCGAAGCTGGACTATGAGATGTTTTACAATATTGTACTAAGATCTTGTTCATATAAAAATCCTTGAGTGTACTAATTATTAAATATAGAGAAAGTGACAGCATGATCATAAATCATTTACAAAATATGTAACAAAAATATAATCAACAAGAATGGCCACTTAAAAAAGTTTGTTATTGTCTGTCGAAAAATTGGATTCAATCTATTCCATTTTTTCGAAATGCGTCCCATTAGAAGGTATTATTTTTTTGACCCAGAAAACTCGCCGAACGATAAAAGTTTTCCGAACTGCGATCCATACGTATGTCAGTCGGCGCGAATCGTCTTGTCGCCTGCTATTAATTTTCCACAGCAATTTAATCGCATTTACTTCAGTTTATATTTCTCTACCATTTCACAAGCACATACAAAAGAAATATTTAGGTGTTTTATTTCTAGACTACTTGCGTAAACTTATATAACTTATTATGCGTCGAGAAAAGCAATTTTTCAATTTCGCCAATTTCATTCTTGTGCTTTTTACATTCGTAATTTCTTTCTGTGCTAATGTGAGTATAAAAACCATATTTATTACATACAAACTTTTCCAAAGTATTTTTTTTGTTTTTATAATAACTGTTTAATTGTGAAATATTAAACTATTAAATATGAAAAATTTCTTAATTTTATACAAACTTTTTCAAAAGCTATTTTTGTTATAATAACTATTAATTAGTTAAGGCAATTAATTAAAAAATGATAATTATTTTTTTAATATAATTTAATAATTAATTAATAGTTACTTTTATTTTTAAAAATAATTTAAAAAAATAATAATTTTAAAGTTTTAAAATCTAAATTTATTTTTTTTAATGAAAATATTTTAACTAAATGTATTGTGTTAATTTTTTTCTTTATTAATGATACTAAAAATAGTGTATTTTTTCATATTTATTTTTAAAAGAAGAAACAATTTAAATTTAAAATATTTATTTATAAAATTTATAAACATTTTTATATTAGATTTCTAATTATACATAATTATTCTAATTATTTCATAGTGAAATGTTTACATTTTTTTTATTATGTCGTATAGTATTCACTTTTACAATCTACTCTTGTGGCAGTTGATACATATATTTTTTTAGTAAACTTTCATAATTTTTCAAAAATTTTAACATTCTTCCCTTCTTACTTTACAAATTTGTTGGTTTGCTGCCATCTTGTAGGTTAACGTCAGTGGAATATTGATTGTACTGTTCCCTTTGTCTGTGTATCTGCTACTATCTTTAACACTGTCATTTCCCATCAACTTGACTGTCCATTCATGTCTGACTATCCTAGCATTGCTAGGTTTGAACCAGCGCTCACAAGGTTTCTCCACTAACGAATAGTTTTGATATTTCAGTGGGTGCGAGAGAGATAACGTATGACTACACGTTATCTCAATGTCTCTTTTTGGTTTGCATGTATTAATTTTGGTTTTATTTTAGAAATACATCACAATAATTTATAGACGTATTTATTTTCTTATCCACTCTAGTACCGTAGGTCCGAGAAAATGTTAGGTTAGGTGAAGTTGCCCTAAGGTTTTATGTTTAAAAGTATATACAAACAATTTTCTTATATGAGTATTTTCATATCCAGTGGTCTAGGTCATGTTTTTGTTAGAGGTTTTTTTTAAATAACATAAAAACAATTTGGTGATATGGGTATTTTCAGCTTTTAAAACTACAAATTGGTGAAGGAAACGTCTAGTCGCTCACAAGCTGGCACAAACCTTCGGATTAACGGTCGCCAGTGATGTATATATACTTTACAATATATACGAAGATGATATAGATAATTATATTAATGAAAATAATTTCATACAAATACTAATTTTTCAATAGATTTAACCATCTCTATAAATACTGATTATAACTTGTATAATTCGTATACGACATTAATAAATCAGCTAATTATAATCTCCAAATATTGCAATTAACTAATAGTTTCTAAGTTAAGTAATTATTAACTACATATATATTAATCAAATAAAAATAATCACCACAAAAACAAATTATATTTCACTATCTCCGCTAATACTAACTTAAAGTTTACAATAAGCTAAACACTTTATTAATTATGATACAGTAAGAACGCTACTGATTAAATATTACGCGAAGCCTAAATTTATCTATTTTCTATATCTTAATGTGACTTCGTTTACTACATTTATCGATTAGGAACACATCCTAAGTGCTACAGAAGGTCTTACTGTAAGAAGGATACTTCTTTAAACTAAAATATTGGTCTTAATTTAGTAATGATAAAAATATACAACCATTTTTTATGGATTTTCATATTATATAAATATAAAAATGATAAGACAAGAATCCAGTTCTTGAGTTCATATTTGTAACAAATTTTAATAAATTTAGTA